TTTCCTGACCCAGATGAGGCGGGGATGTTTGAATCTGGTGCTTTGGTTTGTGTTCACTTTCAGCTTTCTTTCAATCCTGTGAAACGGTCGCCACACCTTGCGCTGAGGTGTGGCTGTTAACAGGAAACCTCTGCATGGCAACAGCCCTGGGGTTTGGGGATTTTGTTTGTTTCTGGGTTTGGGGGGTTTTCTGTTTGGTGTGGTGTGTTGGTTTTTGGGTTTGTTTTTGTTTTTGTTTTTTTTTTTCTTCTGGTAGGTGCTACTGGTAGTTTCAAGTAACTGTGTATTGGTTTTGCCAGAACTTTTTATATAGAAGTGGTTTTTATTATTATTAGTTGTTAGAAGCCTAAGTATTCTTAATATCATAAAGTATGCATCCTAGTAGATCAGAAACAGTATATTTATTGGCTTAGTATTTTTAAATTAATGTTGCATTTCCTGGTGGTTTGCATTTCTTCCTCATCACACCTCTTGAGGAGAGGGCAGAATATCTATCTGAGACTTCATCAGCACTCCCTGCTTGACGTAGAACTTCACTGCTTTTTAATATTTCATTATATTGAAATATTATTATTATATTCATTATTATTGAAAATAAACTAATAACCCAAAGTTATTTTGCAGCAATTAACTGCATCCATTTTCTGTGCAAAAGCTGAATATGGTATCAAGAAGACACAAAAATGCTGATGTTAGAAATTGCTTACAGGGTTGGAAATATTAGAAACATTTACATTCTTTAGTGCTAGGAATAATGTAACAGAAATGTTACACTTTAGATTGTACCTCCAAATTACTGCAGAAATACACCCCCAAATGTTGTTTTTCTCCCTTCCAAAGCCCAAGGCCCACCTTGGGGAGTGGTGGAGGAAGGCAAACCTCTGCAGTGTCAGGGAACCTATGTCGGAGGCACATAGAGATGTGCTGAAACCTCAGAGCATACCCAGTTATCTCTGCCTTTCCAGGGACAAGCATGGAAGGAGGAATTTGAAAGCAACTATTGCTAATACTTGCATGCTCACTGGTCTGGAAACTTCCTCGATAGCATGCACTAAAGGTTTAGGATAAAGTCTTTCTGCAATTTGGTTGTGTTTTTTTTTTTTTTAAACTTAATTTTTAAGTATCTCTCTGTCTCCACCCAGCCCAATTTAATGGCTGCAGAGAACCGTAAGACAAAACTGTGCTTCCATACACTGTTTGCAGGCTTTTCTGGTTAGTTGGGAAGCTGGGGTTGCCCTGATAAAATTATATACATTGCAGGCTGAAGAGGGAAGATCTGTCTGCACATCCTCAGAAGAATTACTGATTTCCTTCTAAAAGATGTACTAATATCAGTTGTCAGCTGAATTTTGCTACATGAGTTATTTGCCAAAAGAAAGGTGTTTCTTGGGAACTATTGCCTTGATAAATCAAGTTGCTGCTAATGTAACTAAAGATATCTTACTGGCATTGAGTTACTGCTCGTCATACTGTGTTGTACTCTAATGGCAGTAAAGTGCCTGGAAAGCAATTTTATTCTTTACTCTTATTCCTGTGTAAATAGCTAATTTATTCTAATGACTGGATGGCACATAATTGGGAATGAGTTTTCAAGGATGTAATATGCATATTAATTATGAGTGTGAACTAGCCTTCTCGCTGAGTGAGAAGACTCTTGTCTTCTTGATCCTTTTAATGCTGGTAAACATCATTATCTTTTCTAATGAGCCATGATGACTAAAGTAGTACTGTTCTACTCTGGGAGTCTGTTGTAGATGTCTGGTTACCAAAACAATTTCCCCCAAGAGTTTTCAACAGATTAAAAGTGCTTACGGGACCTCCAGAGCTCCTGTGCTTGAAAGATAAACTTTTTTTTTAAGGGTTATATCCCTGGGAAAGGAGGTAGCGTGGGTAGCACTGGGGCAATGTGTTAGGAAAGCTGGATTCTCCACACAGCTCTGTACTTGTCTAGTCCCTGTGTGACCTTGGAGAAGTGGCTTTGCTTCTGTAGAGCATGAAAAAGGGTAGTGGTTGCAACCAAAGGTCCTGGAGCGTTGAAATATCAACAGAATCTTGCTACAGGAAACCCTGCAGTGTGCTGCAGCCAGCAAAAGTTTCTGTGCTTTCCTGTTAAAAGGATAAATATGTGGGAGGAAAAAAAAAAAACAAAATTCAACTCTTAGGAAAAAATGTTTTTACACAGTGGAACTGTTAATCACTCTCATTGAGAGAATGGAAATATTCCATAGCATAGACACTGTATCAAATCCATAAAATACTATTATAGAGGGCACATTAGAAGTGGCAGCATATTGTTGGCTTAGTGTTGCTCTTGCCTTTGTTGGAAGATATTTAAATATTTCATAATGTATCTTTGTAAGTCAGAACTTAAATTTAGGTAACCAGTTGGTTTGTTGCGACTATATTGCCTTTCACAGTTGGTTCACCTCTATCAGCTGCTGGTTTGTAGCTTGATCAGTTTGCAAGTGAAAAATAACCATGGAAGAAGTTAAGCCTGGTTGAAGCAAGGTTTTTTTTTTTTTTATTAATGCAAGCACATCCAGTCAAATACAGAATATCCTGCTTTATGGTACAGCTTTATATTTAGCATTTCAGCTCAGAATAGCAAAACACTGTATTTAAGGAATGTATCAAACTGAGGGAGAAAAAATAAAAAGGAACCAATGTGGATACTGCATTGATTTCAAGTATATACTAGGACTGATTGACCAGTGAAGTGCACATTCATGTGAAAGCTTTTTTTTATACATTTACAGAAAGTGTTCTAAAATTGCATTTCAAATATATATTTTTTTCTTAAATTTTAAGCATCCCTTTTAAATTTCAATTACATAAACAAAGCTGATATACAATCCCTCTTATAGTGTCTGACAATGTTACTAGCAAGAACATCTCTGAAAGTGCAAAACACTGTAATAATACAGTATAAATATTCTTACTCTAATCCAGGGCTGAAGGTCAGTACTTCAGCACAGGAAAAATAGCAGCAGATCATAAGAATTATCCCTTCCCCTTTTCTGGGCTGTTCTTATTAACAGTTAGTATTCTACTTCCTTCTTCATGGCATAACTTGCTTTTGTTTCTCTTTGATGTCAATGCTATGGGAATAGCAAAATGTTGATTTGTCTCCCTTCCTTACCCCAACTTACTCTTCTGATTTTAAGTATTTGTCAAGGGGGGGGTGGAACAGGGAGAGAGGGAAGGCTGTTTAATTTTTCACTGTATTACAGGGCCAATACAGCAAATAATTTCTACTAAGTGATTGCAGATGCTACATGAAACAGTGGCACTGCTCTTGGTTGTAGGCACTCAGCCAGAAGAGTCTACTGGACTGGAATAAACCAGACCCTTGGTCCAGCAAGTCTTGCCCCTTCTTCAACAGAAGGCATAGTAAGATAAAACCCATCTATGTAGAGTTGATAATTTTTAAAGAAGCTTGTGCAGAGGTCCTCTGCGAGGCTTTATGAGGGAGGCTGCAACCACTGGGAACTCTAGAGGGCCTTGTTTTAAAAAAACAAAAAAACAAAAAAACAAAAAACCAACAAAACCAAACAAAACCAACAACAAAAAAACCAAAAAGTAATTGTCTGGCTCAAGTCATTATCTTTACAAATATCTAGCCCTCAAGCCTTAAGAGAACAATTACGGGGAAGGACAGTAGATATTCATGGGTTACAATTTGTTCATTAAACAAAATAGTTTTTAATCTGAGCCTATTTTTTTCTTTCTTACTTCAGAGATCAGGTGACAAAGTAAGTCCTAAACTGTGTATTTTTTCCTGGAAATGAATACCTTGAATCTTAACATAACATAAGCTCCTCAGGTGCTCATTTGGATAGCTGCATCAGCTGTAAACTTGAGGCTAAAAGGAGAAATTAGAAATGCTAAATCAGCAGGTTTACAGATCATCTCTAATTTCGGTACTGACCTGGGTTCAAAGGTTTGACCAATTTCTTATGGTGTTTTCCCTTGGATTTCAATGGGTTCTGGCCCAGACAGTTAATCATGGCTTACAAAATATTAGAAAAAATTTCTATCACAAGTTGGTCTTTGCTTTAATTGTCTGTAAGTGCAGACTAGCATTTTCAAAGGAAACAAGGGAATTAAATGCCCAGTTCAGTGGTGATGAACTCTTCTTAAGCTTCTTTGGAAATTTTAGCCTTAACTTCAGATTGGACATCTGAGTTTACTTCCCTCTCCCTAGCTCATGTATGATTTTTATTTTCCAAATTTTCAAAAAAACCATATTGAGCCTGTTTTGCAGAGATAATCTAGGTTAGACGACATTCTCTTAAACAAAACAAAAAAAATCCCTGATTTTTAAAAAGCAAAACACAAACTATTCTGACAGCCAGAATTTAAAGGATAGTTCCCAAAAGTATTAAAACTTAGACATGTGTGCATCTTCACACATGCACGCACACATACTCACACACAAACGCACATCCCCCAGCAGTTACCCCATCTTATCTCTTTAAATCATGTAACAAAAATATGTTTGCTGCACCATCAATGTTACAGGCAGGTATACTCTACTTCATGTGCCATATTCTCCATTTTATTTAAAAAGTACATTGTAGCTGGTTTCGAGACATCCATATTTCTATTTTCTTTACTTCCAGTCCAGCGTAACAAAAGGTACACTAAACGATATCAGTACCTTGTAAGGCACTATTTTCTGATGTAGGAGAGGAACACGCTTACTGCAGATGTCTAAGGCCTTGACTCTACAAACACTTACAGATGTGAACGGTATCACTGATTTGGAGGAGACCCTTCACTTCAAAGCTAGAGAGACATGTTGAGTGTTCTGTAGGATACTGGTCCAATGGAGTATTTAACCTGAACACTGGCTTTAGTTGGGATGTGTGTTTTAATTTTTATTTATTTTGGTGGAAGTAATAAAAAATAAAAATTTGGATGCTGATAGAATAAGATCTCCCCAGGGATACCATCTCCCATGATACATTTCACCTCTGAGAACAGGGCCCTGCCCTTACATTTAAAATAAAAAACCAAAACCCTTCACTTAAGTGCCTTAAGGTTGACATGTGAAATATTTACCACATTTTATTTCATAAAAGTTACTGTATATACAAAAGAGACCTCAGCCAGTGAGGTCTTTCTTAGCTCAGTCCAAGTCTTTCAGGTTGTAAAAACATGTTCATTCAATGTGCTTCAAAGTCTGCAGATCAGATCAAAAAATCTCAGGCTCTATTAAGCAGAGTTGTCCTAGAAGAAGAAGTAATTAAAAACAAACAAACAAAAAAACCCAAAAAACCAAAAAACACCTCATCTTTTCTATCACGACAAAAAGTTTTACAGTTTTGGTATAGGTTGGCAATAGATCTATCTTGCATCATTAGCTGGAAGCCTTTCTTCAAGGGATAGATTTTCAGTTGCCATAAACTGAATACATCTATGAATTCCAATAAATATGCTGACTTTAAATTAAATGAAAATTTAACCTTCGTAACATTACTTCAGGCCCTTAAGATGCGCTCAGGCAAATAACAATGTTCCTTTGTCATCCTAAACTATTGCTTGCTGAACAGCATCGGATTTAACGCAAAGTACATTGCATGGGTGTCATAAGTGAAAAGCTTATGTGGACTTCCTAAGAAACACCGGGATCGCCGGGAAACAGTGTCTCGTCTAGGACAATACAGTCATAAGGTAGCTCAATTGCAGCTCGGGACATATAGACTTCTTCCTTCATTCTTTATCTGGTACAGATATGTCAAATCTAGATGTTTAACATGATGTACAAAGGTCTAAATCTCTCTTTCTGCCTTGGCCTCAGTATTAGAAGAAATCTCATCTAAATTAACTGATCTCATCACGTACGTGGAAGAGGTGCTTCCCCCCCTCAAGGAGGAAGTCATTGAGACTTTTTCCTTTAAGAGTAGGCTGAAAATTGGAGTATTCATACAAAATTTTACCCGTTTATAAGATTTGTAAGTGCGTAGGTATGATAAACAATAGCACCTTCTTATATCTTCATATATTTGTTCCCCTGAGAAAAGCATGTCTGGAAACTGCTATAAATGTAAATTCTTTTACTGTATTTGATAGCCTAAACAAAACATTCTCTTTCATAGTCCCAACAGTGGTCCTGCACTGATCTGGCGGGAAAAGCTGTATCAAAATCTAAGCCCTATTGAATTTTTTTCATATTTGAATTTTGAAGAAAAAATAGTAATATTTGGGCCAAAATGGTCTTAAGCTGGGTATGCAAATAGGAGGGAGGAAGCTGATGATCACATGCCTGTGTATGTCTGCAAAAAGACTCATGTTCTGAGGAAGCTTCATACCTGAGTGTTTTCCAGCTGTCTTTTTCCATGTGGTTTTCTGGACCTTCACTTTCAAAGGATGCAATGAACAGAGCTAGTAAATAAAATAAGAATGATCAGATACATGCGTTCTTTAACTGGAAAAAAAAAGAATTAAAAGTTACAATATAGCAGGTTTAACTTGGCAGTCTTCATAATGAAGTTTATTCTCATCAGAAGCTAATACAGAAGTGATAGTACATACTTATCAAATTTTTTTGCATGTTAATTTTTTTCATCTGCATATTCTGTCTGCGTTTCAACAAGTAGGGAGACTTGCTGTAATGTTCAATAAAGGATTTTACCTTCTTCACTATAAATGGGTGCTGTGAGTAGATAGCTCTGGATCTTCTTGTCTTTTTCAAAAGGGCACTCAACCTGCTTCCATGTCAGGAAATCGTGAATCTGTCTCGAAATTTCCCAGAATTTCTGCATGAAGTAATTAACAAATATGATTTTAATAATATTCTTTTTTCTTTCAAATATTAGTTCTTTTGTTTCAATTTCAGAGCCTCTCAGCCTTGTTCTTATTCACGCTTCTTCTATTATCCCTTACTCATTCTTCCTTGTTGTCCCTTCTTCTTACTGCTCCCTTCGTCTCCCCCTCTTGCTCCTAGTTCCTCATCTGTTCTTAGCCTCTCAAGTTTAGAATAGCATATCCCTGCCAACCACCTGGTCTTTTGCATTTAATTCTTTTCATCACCAACCTTTTCTTCATATATAATAAAGTGCTATTGGCCTGTTTTCTGTGTCTTACCTCTAAATTAGCCTGCGAGTGGAACTGGTCAGTAAATGGTTTTTATTTACTTTAGTTTTTACATTTCCAACCTTCAACTTAAACGAAATGTGACATATCCGATTTTTTCATAAAGCATTTTCTAAATTTAAGAAATAATCAAGACAACATATAGAAACTATAGATATCCTTTCCTTCTTAGGATTTTAAGAAATGCATAATTACTTAGGGTTTGTCTTGTACATTCTGTGTTCCCCCCTCCCTTACCCAGCCTTAATAATGGCAAAAAACTTCAAAAGTACTTTTGACAGGCTGTGGTCTTTTGGACATATATGTTTATTAGTCAGGGAGGGAGAGTCCAGAACATGTAGAAACTCCCTTGAAGACCTGCTAAATACCATTTGCTCGTTGTGTGTAGCATTTATAGCTACTAACCTGATGAGATTAAATCAGCTAATGCTGATGATTTAGGGTGAAGTTACCTATTACAACTTGATCAGATATGACAGCTTGCTGCCACAGAAAAGCTTACTTTGAGTTCTTTACTGCCTTCCGCTTCCCCCAATTCCTTTTGAACATAAGGCAGGTGCAGGGCTGAGGAGTGGCAAATTTTTGTCTGCCATCATACATGGTACACTGAAATTCTTACACTTCTTGATTGCACGTTCTTTCCTTTATTTTAAATGTTGCATGAGTACAATGTTCCTTGAAGAGATTTCCCTTTCCAATTAGCTGACATTAGACTATTTCTGTGTTCCTTAAGTAATTTTTAATGCTGCGGGTTTGGCTTCAGAAATTCTTGTTTTCTTCTCAATCTTTTAATGCATCAGTTCTGGTAACAAATTAATGTTATTCCAATCAGTTCTGCTTATATGAATTTTATGTTTTGCAGTGCATCTGTCCCATTTCATGTAAAACTAACAAAAAATAATCTCTATTTCAGTACCTTTTAAAACTGATCTTTTAACTGAAGGCAATTACATTCCAGCAGTTTTATCGGATTCTCTTCTGATACCCAGTTGTGGATCTGCTGGATACGTAATATAAACGTGGCAACTGCAAGCGCTAGCTTTCACTGAAACTTGATGAAATAATTTCCCCTAGATAATGATACCGCTTTATGTCTAGATCACAGCAATGCTGAAGGAATTGGTAATATAATCAGCCAGAAGTTCAAAACTAGCAAATGTTTGTAATGTACAATGTTTAATGAGCATTAGAGTTTCTATAATAGCGAAGTCCTACCTTGAAGTTTATCTGCCCATTGGGCAAGCGGTTCGTATGTATTTTGTGCAGAAAGTAGATATCTTTAATAAACAGGTTGAAAACTGGGATGACTATTTTCTCTCGATTGCTGTTGGCAGTCTGAGATCGCTGTGCTGCTCCTTGCAGGGCTGTGCGGTAATTACAAAAGTTGCTGGATGGATCCATGTGATGCTGTTTTTATGGGGGGGAGGAAAAAGGCAGTCAAGTAGTAAATGTTTCCTAAATATAAAAAGCTTTGATCTAACCATCAGAGAGTTCATTCTTGATTAATTTGTTGGGCCCCTTTTTAAACTTTCAAGAGAGAGTACCTTATACTGATCAGGTCTGGATTCAGGTTTTTTCTAATTTCTATCTTGCTTGAAAGGAGGGTTCTGTACTGGCTTTACATCTATGCTTTGCTTCAATGGTTAATGGAAGACTGAAAGGAAATGATAAATGACTATCAGAAAAAAACAAAATTCTACTTCACCAATCTTTCTGATGAAATTTTCAATTAAGTTTTGTTTTCATTCAGATCTCCACTAGATGGAGTACTCTCATTAGTTTTAAGGGTAGCAAAATGGCTACCCTTTCACTTGAGTGAAAACTACTTTGATGTTAAATGGGAAAAAATATGCTGGGAAAAAATAACCTAAGGAAAACTTGCATCCACTTTCCTCCTTGCAGGCATGTAGGGAGTTTGAAATTCAGGAAATGCTCTCCCTAATGTTTATATGCTGGTGATCACTGACAGAGGTGCCTCTGTGATATCTGACTTAATAATTCCACAGCAGAGGTTTGGATGAAACTATTTTGTGGATTTCTATAGAAAGTCTAAACTTTATACATACCTCTAAAACATCAAATTTGGCTGTTTTGACCTTGGACCAAGTTTTCTTTAGCCGTGCCACAGGACTCAAATTCATGCCAGCTGAATGGAGGGAGAAGAGACAAAGAAAGAAACAACTGAGTTGAAAAAATATAGGGCTAACGTAACTCTGTGTTTGTGTCAGCACCACACATTTTGGAAGGCAGTTCAGCTTGAGAAACAAAAGTTGTAGCTGACACTCACCCACCCGCACATTAATCTGTCACTGGTACATACTGCCTCTGTAGAAGCGTGCGTGCTGATGTGGTCAGCCAATTTAAGGCAAGTATGAGCATAGTCTTGCCAGTCAGGCTGTAAAATGGAGTGCCTTTTATCATCTTGATTTAAGGATACTCACAGATAATAGCCATCATTGAGTTGAAGTTTCCAATATTGAAGCATTCTCTTGCCACATCAATGAAAAATTCCACCATTCTTGTACGCTGCTTTTTCTTTACAACCTGAAAAAAACCCAAGATCTGTTAAGAGAGAAGGGATGGCCTGAATTCTGGATGGGATGTTCAGTCAAAGGCATTTTAACAGGTTGAGTGAATAGACGTTTCAAGGCTTTACCCAGCTAAATCTTATGATGATATAGGCCTGAGGGTATTTTGTTAAGATTAACTTTTAATAAAATAGCAGAAGTATTTGGGGCTACTATCAATTATTTGTCTAGTTGTGGGGGAGTGTAAATTTTTGTTTATACATAAAGTTCAATGTCTTAGGGAATCTTGTATAAACAAGCTGGACACTTTCAGCAATTTCCTGTTACTGGAAAAGAGATAACATGAAGCTGCTATCAGAAAGAATATATGCAAAAGACTTAAACCTCTGAAGAAGGGCGGAAAGCAGTGAACAAACTTAAGATTAGGGGCATGTAACCTGAATGTGAGAAAGAACAATTGCCATGTCCTGATTTTCTCATTTTACTGCATATCCTCTTAAATGACCTCTTGAGAGCAGCTAGTGATGATCAAATATACAAATTCCCATTCATGCAAAGGATCTAGCAAGTGATGCTGAACACCTGCTTTGCAGATTCTTTTATAAATGGTAAAGCGAAATTAATATATAGCACTGTCTCCAAACTTTATTTCCAAAAGCCATCAATCTTTCTCTCTCTCTTTTTTTTTTTTTTCTTTTTTTTCTTAAAAAGCTAGTATTATTGCCTAGGTTACATTCATTCATCAAAATCTTTCCTATATTTAGATCTAGAAGTTTGGTCTGGCTTATACAAAAACGGCTCCTGAGTGGTGACTGCAGACTAATTGACCAGGGAATTCCCTTTTTCTTTTTCAAAAAAACACCTCTTACCTAAATACTTCAGTTTCTGTGTTATATCAAAAGAAAATGGTACAGTGGTCAATGGCTTGGCTTAGCCCTGGGTATGCTAAAACCTTTTGTTTGACTGATTTACTAAATGTATTAGCCATACCAGCCAGCTCTGGAAGATGTCTTGATGTGTTTTTGTAATAAGTTTCTGTGAGAGCAGGAAATCTTAAGACATTAGGATCAATATATCAGATTCATGAAACTGCAGTAGGCATTTGGATTTCCACAGAAGGACTACTGACCAAGCAGGAATAGAGAGAAAATTTCCCATTTGCTAGAATTGGTGCATATTAATAGGAATCTAAAAAATAAAAAAAAAATAAAATAAAAAAAAAAAAAAATTCCAAAAGAGCTCCTAACTCAAACTCCACACAAGTTCCATTTCACTGCATAACTAATACTGCTATGAAAGCTATGCAAAACTAGAGAATATATGCAAAGCCCAACATAGCCATGAACTCTTAATCATATAAGCATGCAAATAATTTAATGCTTGAGTAATGCTGTTATCTTTAATTGCACTGCTAATGTTTAAATCTCTATTAGACCACTGCCTGCCTTTTGTTCTTAAGGCCAGGATCACTTTGCTATCTTGTTTTCTACAAATACCTACCCGACAAATCTCTGTAGCCACCAGCATGCTGAGACAATTGAACCAATTGTCATAGGCCTCCAAATTATAGGTTTTGGTTACATCGCCTCGGCACTGTAAGAGAACAGGCCATATGTTAATCCTATCCTGTATCATGATAAAGTCAACATTCCAAAGGATAAACTTCCTTTTCACGTCTTGATAAAATCTTGTTGGGTATTTTTTAAGGCATGACCTTGAAGAAGGTTAGAAAATGTCAGCCTTTCTTGCACAGGGGACGCTCAAATCGTGGAGGTTCTTTACCCTGGTTATTCTTTGTTTCTTTTTCCCTCCGTACCCCTTCTTGTACCTTGTGATTATCCAGGGAGTCCATGTGGCTGACAATCTGCATCAGATCCTCTGGGTAAATGTTGCTCACCCTTTCCTGTGGAAAGATAAGAGATATCACTCTACAGACAAACAGGGAGTTCAGTGAAAAATGCATCAATAAAGCCAAAGTTAGGAGAACATATTGGTAACTCTCATCTTCCTACAGTGTAGATGCGTGAGGTGTTTTTATCGGTGTAATTGGTCTTGCTCATTACTTGGTATTTTTTGAGTAAAACATTAGAGGCTTTCAGTAAAGCCATAGCAAAATTCATATTGATGATTATATTAATATTTAGTAAATGGAAAATGAAATAATTCACACAAATTAGTGTCTCACCAGTTCAATATAGGTCAGCTGCTGTGCCAAGATCAGAGGGTCACAGCACACATTCAGGATATCCTTTTGAGTTGACTGTGGCTTGGTTTTGAGGATGGTGCCTTTGTCGGTAACAGGTTGCCGGAATTTCTCTCTGATTTCCTGGTACTGGCTCCGTGCGGAGAGGGCCATCAGGAGATTCTGTGTCATTTGGCTAATGATCTTTTTCACTGTTCCGTTTTCCTAAGCAAAGGCAGAAACAAGGACTGCTAAAAACCTTTAGCTCTTACAGACACAGATCGCCAAAGAATTTCTGATGGGGAAAAATAAATGCCTATTATCCGTTTTCTTTCATCTTATCTCAGCTGATCATCCTGTGACAAATGAACTTTTCCTAACTGCCCACACAACTTCATAACGTTATGCCTGCCTGCCTTCCCAACTCTGTTTCACTTGCTTGGCTGGTCTGGTCCTTGCGGCAGTTTTTGGCTAGTACTCCATTTTAAAGGCATCAGGATAAACAGCTTAAAAGTGGGTATAGTGAAAGGTGGTTGAGTTGCTTGCACAAGGCTTCTTGGAACTCTGTGTACCAAGTGCCAAAAAGCTTTTTATCATTCTGATCAGACCCACTAATGATCAAGTCTATCTTGCCCAGGCAGAATCCAGGGAATTCACATTATGTCCACAAATACACCCCTAAAATACCCTGTCTTGGCTTTGAACAACTATAGTATCCAAAGATTTAGGTAAGAACACAATATGCATCATGTTCGTGGATGATTAAAATGCCTTTCTGTCCATCAGGTGCAGATTTTAAACATAGGATCTGTAAGGATACGTACTGGTAAAGCCACAGAAATATAATCCATCCGCTCATTGTTTTGACAACTAAGGCAAGCTGAATTCTTTCTGCCATTGATTGTTTGTGTCCTATAGACATTTCTCCATGAAGTCAATCCCGAAGAGCTAACTTGATCATTTTGCTAATCCTCCATTCTTCCTGTTACTGCTTTTAACTGACCCAGGTTCTCTGACCCTATTCTGCCTGCTGCTGGAAAAACCAATTCTACCGAAGACAGTAATTCTCCTCTTTCCTACACAACTGTTCTCTTGCTTTCATGCAAATTATTTCTCTTGAAGTTAGCCACAAGGTTAACCATTAGTTTACAACCTGCTGTGTTGGTTTCTGCCAGTCAACTGGATGCACTAGAAAGAACTGCAATGAATCTGTGATCGTTCAAAGAAGCCACTAATGTGAAGTGATGACTGAAATTATGTAGCAGCTGTGAGAGATATGACTACCAAATACTTGTATATTGCATGCTATAATTAAGCAATAATAGTGTCAGAATGTTGCTTTACAAGGCAATAATCTGACTCCCAAGTGAAATCAAATGAAAAGCTGAAGGCAGCGTAGCTCATCTTGATGAGGCAACTAGATTACCACTGAACAGCAGCTGGCTGGAGCCATTTTGGATATTGTGCTACAAGTGTTCAGAAATGCCAAGGGAGCATGGTGGGGGGACTAAAATAAAGCGCTAATTCTGCTCTCTGGTATCTCTTTCTATTGTTAATCATTTGACTTCAGCCGCTGTGCCTGACCTACCCATGTGTCTGGGAGGTGGCAGACTTTCTAGCTATGGATCATAGAGAATCAAACTTAAGGAAGGTGAGAGTATTGCAGATATTATGTGAAAGTGAACAGAGAAACTGCAGTGACATGAAAACTATGGCTTATTTAAGCTATTGTGAATTTATTAGCGTCCTAATACTTAGACAAATGCCTTTAGAGTTTTAGCAGTTTCCTTTCATTACTAGTCTTACCTTAAATTTTCTTACAACTTTGGAAAACAAGTCAATGAGTGTACAATAATTTGTCCTTGTTTGAGTTCAAACAAGACATCTGTACTTCATTTGGGGCGCAACCGTGGCTGTAGCTATAGCTATTTGGTATGCTGTTTGGTATCACTAGGACAAGCACCTGACCGCTTTGTGTGAGTTCTCAGTTTACTTTCTACCCTATGTATGGAGAATAGTGTCCTAAGGGGATCTGGAAAAGCTTTAAAATACAAAATACAAACCATTACCATAATCCCTTGCTGAAGCACAGTATAGTTAATTTCTTGTGGTAACAAATACTGAGAGCAAGAGCTGCTTTTTGCCAGTGTCAAATTATGTTTCCTAGGGGTCAGATGTGGCATAGCTCATCACCGATCAAACTTGACTTGTAGCTTTGTTAAGGGGATAACTATGGTGATGCTGTAATTAATGGATGTCATCAGATGCCTCAGACACCAGAGCACTGAGCCATTCCATGAAGACATGTTTTTCTCAAATGACAATTTATTCATACATAACAGAGTGGGAGGGAAGGGAAAACCAGTTCAAAGTAACAGACAAACTAAATACGAAAATACAGACACTAAATAAAACCTCTGCCAAGTCCCCTTTCACAGTAGTATCTCTGCCAACATACACCTCTTCACCCTTGTCTACAAAGGGAATAGAAGGCATATTATAATCCTATTTCCTTTTCCCCTCCTACTGAGGCACTGACATTTTCATAGTAGCATCCAGATAAACAGCTGTGCTGATGCAACAAAACTGACATACTTCCTTTTGACAACTTGGTAACACCTAATTGTATTGTGTCCTATCACTGATTCATGTAGTGCTGTCAAACCTGTTGCTCCTCATTTTCTCTTACTTGAATCAACAAAAACACGTAACAATTGTCTTCACATTTCCTGCTAATAGTTCTCAAAAATATCTTGAAGTTGTGGGTTTAAAAACAAGGAGAAGCTTCTAATTCTACGTAAGTAAGCCTTCACGTTCATACAAACACTTTATAATTCATTCCCTTGCAGTTCTTGATCATATCCTTTCTTCTGTCTATTGGTAGTTACAGTGACTTTCTCAATGAGGAAAAAAGTGTAGGCTTTGTGAGCTTTGGGGGAAAAAACCACCAAAACCCAAAACAAAACAGAAAAACAACAAACCAAAAAACAAACAGAAAACTAACAGCACTTGTTTTATTTGAATTTGCTTTATCTGTTTGCTTAAGAAAAGTCTTTCGTGAGGTCTAGTTTTCTTCATAGGCTAGAAACTCAGAGCTGTTAAGACTGGTGATTGACTAGCTAGCAGAGCTCAAATATAACTTCCTTAGTGGAAATACTGTGCATGTCACTTGAAACATAGCAACAAAACAGTTGCTGATTATTGCTAGGAGCTAAGAATGAACTATTAAATAATAAGCATCTTCACCCTGAGCAAGAGTACAGGATAAAACTAGTTGATATGTCTTGTGGGACTTAGACGTATAGAATAGTAACAAAGTACAAAGGATGGTACATAATTCATTATGAAAATTAACTATATTGTGCCATTATAGTCACTGTTCTTTTCTTTCTCCTTCTATACCACATCAATTTTTCATATCATCGTGACTATTTTGTCTCTTCCTCTTACACTTGGTGATTATACATAGACAGATTCTGCTAATGGACCATTAAGCTGATCGCTCAGCTCATGTCCTGCAGTTACACTGACAACTTAGCAACTGCTGCTGTAGTCCATTTAGAAATATTGCATGCAGGAGCAAGGGTTTGTATATAATATGATAAACTATATATAAAGGTTGACAAATATTGCTTTTCCGCTTAATGGTTTTTCTCCCACCCCTACCTCATCACATTGTGTGATCCTGTGAGCAATCTCCTTCAACTCTTTCATGGATTTTTCATCTTGGAAATCATAGGGGAAAGTTTCAGTCCATTCCTTCAGGAGCTGAATGATTTTGGCAGTGAAGGATTTTAGCTTTGCCTAGAAAGAAACAATGGATTGATTACTGACCATAGACCTTTCTGACTGCACAGTAAATTAGCTGATGAAGGCTCACATAAAACTAGAGACACCCTTGAAAATACTTTGCATTTGTAGTAGGTGAAGTGGATAAAAAAGAACATATTTAATTGTGAGCCAGATTCCTAAATAGTATGATTTAGCCTCCTTTCATGATAGCTTGGTAATATCTCTTACCAAACACTTTGAAGATATTTTCAAGGTTAGGAAGATGACAGAATAGTTTAAGTGACTTATTTGATTGAAGCCAATGGGACTTAAGCTGATTTATGCCCTCTGAGGCAGCAGTACCTTAGCGTTTGAATTCAAATGCATACAAACCGCAGTACTCTATCAAGCATCTTTCATGAGAAATGTTCACAAAGACATTTTTGTTCTGTAGAATTTATCAGACCCTCCAGATTGAGCTGTATATTAAAACAAATGAATGACAGGAAAGATGTGTGTGTTCTCTCTATGACATCTAAATCAAAATGGACTTTGAAAATAAAAAGTATTGGCTCTAACTCAAAAAGCTATCAACCACAGAAAGGGGAGGGGGAGTTATTTTCTAAGTTCTTCTGTCACCCGTGAATCTTCTAACGCTTTTCAACAGTTAGACCTGAATTGGATACCAATTACTGCACTACCACAGCAATAGAGAGCAGCATCAGTAAATCCAAGGGAACGCTCTTGTAAAATTGGGAGTGTGAGTGCTAAGAACACTTTTCATGAACAAGAAGAATCAAAACTTAATTCAGATTATATTTATCCTCCCACCCAACTTGTGATGCACTGAGGAAAAAGAGGAAGTTTTCATTTGTGTTTACCTCCCCACTTGTGTAAGCTACAGAAGTCCCACTACACAGCAGTTCCTTCTCCCCACACACAGTGTGCTTTCCTCATTGCACTCTCCATCAGCCTCTTAGAGGTTACAGGTGGCTTAGCATGTGAGTGTCACTACAGGAAATTGGTGTATTTTCTTTTAAGACAAATAGAGAATGTATTCCAAGAGCTGGTAGGAACTTCTGCAAAAACATCATAGTATGTCCCAGTTTATTTAATCAAAACCAAAAGTCAACCAAACGAAGCTATCTTTTTGCATTTTTTTACATCTCACTAGTATGCAGTCAGCGGGAATATTAATAATGATTAATAAGAACTTTGAAGTTAAACCATGCACCCTTGAATCCTCAATCTGAAAATGAGCCAGTGCTCCTTGTAAGTCTGAAGGGAATTTTCTTCCCCCGCCCCGAGCTGCAAATTACACTCTGTTAGCATGCTTTTCCTAGCTGTTTTTTACTGATAGCATTTAATTGATCCTGCTAGTAAGAGAAGTGCAGAATAGTTGGATAGTGAGGGCAAAAAGAAAACATCACCATTCTCTTTGGTCAGCAGTAAGCATTCCTG